GACCTGTAGCCGGATGCCTTCCTCATTGATTGTTCCCTGTCAGCTCAACAAGAACCACCCACTCCAAGACAATATGGCCCCAAGATTAGACTCCCCGGAAAGACAAGCCACCAATGTTTCTCAGACTCTAACCCTTTCAGCAGAGGTGAAATTCCAAGGACCTGTAGTCAAGAGGTTGAGAAGTTCCTTCACCCAGATTCTCCCTGTGAGGTCTGCTTGACAGGATCCAGAGTCACCTAGGAGACGAACGCTAGGCGTGTCTAAGAGAGACTTGCTAGTTGAGGTGGGAAGACACACTGTAAATAAATGCGAGCCGCACCGTTCCCTGGGTGGGAATCCTGGGTTACATGAGGAGAAGAAGAAAGTGAGCTGAGCACCAGCAACTACCTGGGCCGGTTCTGGGGATCAAACCTAAGTCCTCGTGCTTGCACAGCAAACACCGTAGGGACTGAGCTCTATCACTAGCCCCTCTTTTTGGATTGCTACTGTATGTAGCTATAATATTACAGCAGTAGTAACACGGAAATGTGAACAGAACAGAGCAAAATGGAAGTAAAGTTTCTATATCTCATTATAATTGACAGTATAAGTCTGAATTCGACTCTGAAAAAAACGTTGGTCCCTGTAATACAATTAATAAAAGTATAAGGTGAAAAGATGACTAAAGGAATTTAAATGGTACATGATCAAATATACCTTGGTGCAAAAGAAAGTAATATGTAAGGAACCAAAAACCAGATGTGAGTCGTAGAACAAACACAAAGGAAATGGTAGACATGAATTCAGCTATGTCAAAACTTTAAGTGTGAATAAATTATAAAATTATTTTTGTGTTTTTGAGACAGGTTCTCCCTATAGCCCCTTTGGCCTGGAACTCACTATGTAGACCAGGCTGGCCTCCATCTCACAGAGATCCACCTGCCTCTGCCTCCAGAATGCTAGGATTAAAGGTGTGAACCACCATGCCCAGCTAGACTGTACAATTTAATGAAGAGTCAGAGACTGCTGGAATTGATTAAAGACAAATTCCAAAAATATGTTGTTGAAATATGCACATTAGATTCAAACACAAATAAGCTGGAAGAGAAGGTGTGGGAAAGTATACTGTGCAAACAGCAACCATAAGAAAGCTAATGTCAGGGGCTGGAGAGGTGGCTCGGCAGCTAAAAGCACTTGCTGTTCTTGTGGGGAGCTTAAGTTCAGTTCCCAGCACCCACACTGGGCAGCTCACAGCTGCCCAAAACTCCAGCTCCAGTAGATCCAATACCCCCTTCTTATCTTAAATTATGTGTGCATATGTATGGGCACCTGCACACGTTTCATATATATACTGAGACACGCAGATATACATAAATAAAAATAAATCTTAGAAAAAAGAAAGAAGTCTAATATCAGACAAAGTAGACTTTAAAATGAAAAGATTACATTGATAAAAAGGACAAATGATCATGATTTAGAGTGTCAGGGTGTTATCCATTATAAACATGCACGTTTTTGAGTGTCAGAGTGATATGCATTATAAACATATGATTTAGAGTGTCAGGGTGATATGCATTATAAATATATGATTTAGAGTGTCTCAGTGATATACATTATAAACATATATGCTTTAGAGTATTGGGGTAGCATGTATTATAAATATATATGCACCTAAGAATACACGACACAAAATCTGACAGGATTGAAGGGAAATACATAATTCAGTCACGATAATTGCTTTGTTTTCAATACTAGGTAGAAAAATTAAGTAGAAAATCAATAAATATAGTAGGCTTGAACCACGTCATGGACCAATGAGATTTAATCCATCTCTACACAATTCCCTCGCAGCAGAGTACACATTCTCTTCACTGCACACAGAACTTTCTCCGAGATAAGTGACGTGGAAACAAACCTCAATAAATTCACAAGTATTGGAATCACCATAATTAAATTAGACTAGAAATCAGTAAAAGTTGGAAAGTTTGGAAATTAACATATACATGGAAATTGAGCAAAAATTAGCTCAGATATTTTGTGCATTCTGTCCTTGGGTTTTTATTTTATTTTTGAGTTATTACTAACATTGCAAGTGTTTGTTATATATCCTAAACACAAATATTCAAAGGTTGGGCATGATGGCACGTTTCTAATCCCAGCACCCAGGAGGTAGAGGCAGAGGCAGGCAGATCTCTGTGAGTTCCAGGCCAGCCTGATCTACATAGAGAGCTCCAGGCCAGTCAGGGATGAATAGTGAGACCCTTGTCTCAAAACTGTTATTCAAAGTATCTGAGGGTTAGAGACGCTTGTGGATGTAGTGACTGAGCCAGCAACAGGGCTGGAATTCAGAAAGGGCTTCAGCGAGGGTACCTATGAGGACTGAGAAGAAAGGCTACCAACAGCCACTATGTGAATCCTCCCTCCCTTTCTGTTCCATAATACCCTGGGTCAGAAAGAACCAGATTCCCTACCTTGATCTTTGATTGGACTGTCTTATAGA